GTATATTTGGGTAATCCCTCAAGGTTTCGAGGATAATCGTAACAATATTATCTCGAGCAAAAATAAAACTACTCAAAAACGAGAATATGTGATAGATTTCAGACCGTGTGTTGTAGATGCTCAAACAAGTGGCAGATCAACCACAATGTTGTAAAGTCCGATCACCTGCACCTTGGTCACATCTTGCAACTTTTCCAAAATGTAACAGTAAGGTCTTTCTGGCTGTTCACACATCGAAATAAAATTTCTTTTTCTCAACTTGACAGCGAATTGCATGCAAAAGTTGGAAATATTGCCACGTCTGACACGCTCTTTTCACCTTGCAATTTTTATTTCCGAAAGTGATTTTTGCAAAAGGACTCACTAGCTGTTTATGCGGAGAAAATGCGCCACGCTTAACCACACTTTTACTATTTAAAAAAATCTAATTATATTCTCTTTGATAACAAATGCTTTAATTTTTTGAGGAGATTAATTACTATATATTTTTTTTTACCAGAAGAAACATTAACAAACCAATTGGCATACATATAACGTGTTGCAGCTTAACCAATGAAATGATAAACCCCTTCCGAAAAATTGTATAAAAAAAAAAATAGAATTTTTTTTTATTATTTTTGTTAACACTAATATAACCTATAGCATTTATTTATGTATATTACGGGAATTTTTACATAATATGGTTGATAAAAATAGTTCAACTCAATCTCACATTTGAATGATATACACTACTGCCTTTTTAACTAGAACAATTTGGTTTTTATTCTTAATGTGTTTAAATAGTAATCGTAGAAAATCATAGAAAATACTTTGTATTTTTTTAAACATGAAAAAACAAGGGATGAAACGCATTACAAGGATCATCTTTGTTTAAAAATACTTGGTATATTTTACAATTTACATTTCTTATATCATTCAGAAGCTGTTTAGACTTCCGTTGTCAGTTAAATTTTAGAAACTCTCACATTATATACAATCCACTGTGATTTGCACGTGCTTGATCCCTTTTAAATATCTAATGTTATATATTTTATATCAATAGGGAAACCCTTGTAAACTTTAACACATGTTAAATTATGCAAATCATTTGGAATACATACATGCTTATACTAGCTCTTATCTTATTTTTAACATGCGTGCCGCAGCATACGAAACATCTTATTTCCATTGAGCTGTGGGGTCGGTTGTAGAAGTCGAACTCGAATCATTCAAACTGAATTCAAAGCTATTGTCCCCACTGGTGCATGTTACAGTAGTCAAGCTCGAGTCATTGCCTGGACTCTGTCGTCCAAAAACACTTAGACATGGCAAACTTTGATCACCTGAGTTTCCATCTAATTCTGCATCAACATTACCAACATCTGACATGTTTATACCGTTATATTCATTTTGGCCATCATCGTCAAAGCTATCATTGCTTAGACTACTGCAGTGACTATCGTCGCTTATAGCATTTGGCGAAGGTGTTGTAATTTGCCGTGACAATTGATTTGAACTAAAGTTATTTCCCACACCATTCAAAGCTACACTACTGTTGGTGCTCAAATTGAGTTCAGTGATAAGGGGCAGACTACCGCCAGAACCAATTTCTGACGATAACGTCGCCGCAGCATTCGATGTCGAAGCGACGATTGGCGCATCTTTAGGTTCACCTGATGCGCTGGCGATGTTGGAATCCAGAAGCGTAAGCATGGGGAGCCTGTTCAGCTCCTCCGATTTAGCAGTTGAGTGATTACTACTATTAAACTCAAGCAAGTCGCTTAATTCTGGTATATTATGTGCCGACATAGAATTACTAACAGACAAATGGCAATTTTGTTGCAAATTCGGTACATCACCTTTTTCGTGGCCGTGATTCTTTTTGGTACCATCAACAGGCTCCGCTGTGTCAGCTTCGTTGTTAATTTGTGGTTGTTGATTTTGTAGTTGCAACTGTTGTTGTTGGCGGTTTTGTAAGTTTTGTTTACGTGCGATTCGTTGCGCTCGCGGTGGTGGTTTTGGAGCCGTACCATTCATATCCTTACTAAAGAACGGAACTTTCGTATAATAATCTCGATTGTGATCTGGAACACTATCTACACGATGAGCATTATCATTGAGTGTTTCTGTGTCTGGGTAGCCGTTGGAGTCATTAACAAAGTCCGCCACACTACCTAAACACTCCGTAGGTATGGATATGTCTACTTTAGCTCCAGGTCCTTCTAATGGACGCTCGGGCAGCGGTTCTGTTAGATGAAAAAAGTTAGAATAAAAACCAAACAACCATACTTATGTACATAAATATATGTTTGTTCCATATACATATATATCGATGGTCCTCTGCAGTAACGCCACAAATCAAAGTTCAAAAAGTAAAAACTCTTACCACTGTTCTGTGGTACATGTCTTTAATCCATGTCTAATCTTTAGTAAAGAGCTTGTAGGGAATGGTGTTGGAGTGACAGTTCTTGGCAAGATATGAATCTGGATCGTTCCGGTTACATATACTCGAGTGTTGTGGGAACGTTCATATCTCTAATCCTTAATACTTACTTTAGTAAAGATCAGGACCAAGGACTGTCACCGCAGCATTATTCCCCATTGGGTGCTGTTGCAACAACAGACAAGAGCCACTTAACAGTAGCAGCGGATTTTATTTTTTGGATCTTGACTTGTGTCGTACTGCAGAGTAGCATTGATAGGTATAGAGATTTTTTCATTATCATGCTATTTTACATACATACATATATGTATATATCCACCCCTGATTGCGATTTTATCGTTAGCAACGAAAAGTAAAATTTACAGGAGAGGTTTTGTTAATTCTCTTTTTAGCAGTGTAAAAATTTATTGGGATTTAAACGGACAACATTATTGAACACCAGCTTTTTAATAACACTATTAATTTTTTGCATACCCTTTTTTGCATACTTCAGGATTGTTTGAAAAAACTGAATTTTAAGTCAATTAAATATAAGCACTGTAACTTTAACTCTTTGGGTGCATCTACTAGATTGTCCACAAGTTTTCTTCGTGGATACATTGTTAAAGGTCATTCAATTATCTACCATGCATCTAAACTATCATATTGACGCTACTATTTGGCTGTTGTTGTTGTAGCGGCTACAACAACCCCGCCCAGGACGGTTGGTATCTCAGTCCTTGTCGTCAAGTTCCACTAACGGCAACCCTAGGAAGCGTGCAGCTTCTGTGGGGTTTGTCCACAGGGACAAGGACGTTAGGGTTGTCGGGTTTTCCGGGCATGCGAAGAGATGTTTGTTATTTTCTGGCGGTTTTTTAAGAATGATAAAAAAAGGTAAAATTTAATCTTTGACCAAAATAGGTTCAGTTCCAAAAACTTCATATTATGGAGATTTTTGGCAAGTTTAGAAATCAGTTCTTATTTTCTTCGACTCGGCGTATGTTTTAAACCTAGTTATTGGAGAAAAACATCGCTTAACGAAAACTTTTAATCCAAAATTAATATCAAAGACTACAATTTTATAAACAGAAGATTAAAGTGCGAAGCTATGATAAGTAAAAGTGATATAATCAAAATCTTATAAGCTATTTAAAAGGAAAAAACGGCAAAATGAAGTAATTTCCCAAGTGTGAATCCATATGACCGTATAAGCTAGTGTTACGATCGCAATTTCGAATTCTGTGCATTTTTTTATACCAGTGCATACAATAGGAATATAAGCCCCGTTAAATGTCTGGTTTTTTTCATCTTTCTAATATGCTTTTAAATCTTATAACCCTTGGGCAAAGCATGAGTTTAAAAAAAGACCCACTAGACTAACGGCACTGCACTTAGTGATTGCAGAAGCAATTGCGTAATGGAACTGATTTTGAGGCACTCATTTGTAGCAAGCGCCGATGGAACTTTGGTTAAAACTATAGTTCATACTGCTATTCGCAATAAAGTTCTGTACACACAGTGTCGCTTACGATAAAATTATGAGAACACAAAAAATTCATTTCGCTTTTTTCAGTAACGGTAAATATTCAAAGTCTGTGATTTTGTAGGATGTTGTAACTCCTAGTATTCGCAATAAAAAAAAATTTCGATAATTTGTCGCGGCAAAATCGCAATTAGGGGTCGATATTATGTACATTCACATGCGCATACTTGCCTATATTTTGCTGCATTTGTTCTTAATTCTTAATTGTGATAAGGCTGTCTTACAACAAATTTGTTGCTATAAATTTCTTAACATACATACTTATATAAATATGGTTTCATGAACATGCATTTAGATTATAAATGGATTTCCCAACGCGCCGCTTTCGGAAATTGTTTCGTAATTTTGTGGGAAACTTTGGTTTTCGCTTTCTCTTAGTAGAATATGTATAAATGGATGGCCAAATGCCTTAATCGACCGAAAAATCAACTTTTCCTTTTATAAAAGATCTTTAATTCCTATGCATATACATATATATGTAGTAGGCAATTTAGGAGTAAAGACCGCTCTCGACGTACGAAAACCACACTTTATAAGTCACTTATCATGCCCGTGTTGGTATATGGCGCCGAAGGATGGACATGTCGATCGAATGGACTCCGCCACTCCAGCTCTGAAAATATTCAACTCGGAGTCCGCTTGTGGTAGCAGAGGAAGAGGGAGGCTACCAATGCGTTGGAAATACCAAGTGGAGAAGAACTTGACTTCACTTGGCATTTCCAATTGGCGTCAGTTGGCCCAGAAGAGGAACGACTGGCGTGCTTTGTTGAACTCGGCCAAAATCGCTTAGGCGGTTACAGCGCCAAAAAAGCAGAAGATATGTATGTAGCTACTAATGAATACATACATATGTATATTGATTTATACCAGGGACTTATGTCCTTTTAACAAATGCATTCCTGAGCTTGTGTGATATTTATGAATCTTAAAAAATATTTTTTTTTTTTTACCGTTAAGAAAATGCTCTGCCACAAAATCTGCTGCATTCCAGAGGTCAGCCTTTATTAGCAATTGTAATAGTAGGCCAACCGTTGGGCGCTCGTGTTTACGTCCACTTGTACTCCATTCTTGAATCAATATCTCCGCAAAATAACACCCACTTGTTTGCTTGGTTGCTTCTTCTATTAGACGTATTTGTTCGGGCTTATACTTCAATTCAACCACACTTGAACCGTTCCATTTATGGCTACCTCGTCCTACGGAATCTCCGATATTGGCTGCATCTTGAGTTGACCAATTTTTGGGTATAGTTTCCATCAATTTTCGCCCACCATCGAACCC